GAGGTTGACTAATTTACTAACTATACCAGAATGTAGATCACAGATGTATACATTTAAACACGTAATTCATACTATTTATTATGAAGACCAGTGGTCATGGTACAGATCCTTGTGATACTCCACTAATTACATTCGTAGCATTTCCTACATTTTCTAATGCTGACCATATTATCTTCTAGTTTAGTTCTATCTAGGTTTTCTGTAATCTTACTTGTAATATATATATATAATCATAAATTATTTAATCCCACTTAACAATTGATATACAAACTTGGTGGTCTGTAACATACTCCTAACAATATGCCTTTTTTTTGTTTTCTACATCTGACTTATATAGTTGGTGCCGAGATCTGGTTAGATTTTGTTATGCCTCCTGCCTGCTGTTGTTTTACTATAAATACCATGCAGAAAGAAAACTACTCTTGTATTTACATGTGAGTGAAAAGCTGTGGGAGTGAAAAAGCCATTTTGGTCTTATAACCTATGATATATCCAAAAGCTGTCAATATCTCTACCCAGATATTTTTAAAGTAGAGTGGTATACCTCCACCGCTTGTATCATTCCTCTTTCTTCAGAATGCTGAGCATCTGTTTTGTATTGTTTACTGTCATTCTCTGTTAACCACGTTCCTGAGATTCTAGTTATATAAACTTGGTGTTTTACATTTTTTTATTTTAAAATGACACTCATTTTCTGAAATTTGTTACCATATACAAACCAAAAGATGCAGCATTGCCACCTTGTAGATCTCAGAAGCTAAGCAAGGCCTGGTCAGTTCTGGGAAGGGAGATCTCCAAGAAAAAATTAGGTTGATCCTGCAAGTCATTAAGTTAAGTGGTGAAGCAATTTCTTACTTTTCTGATCAAAAGATGCTGCTGCTGGTACTGTACATAATGACTATTGTTTGTCAGGGGGGTCTGGCCCCCATTGATGAAGTGAGTCTGCTCCTATATGGCAGGCACTTTGAGATAATACTCAAACACACTATACAGGTATGTAGTGCAATGAACTATCTGCTTTCAATATAAAATATTGTTGTAATTTAAAATAGGGTCAGTTGGAGCTTTGAATGTTTGTCGTGTTAAATGAGTAGTTAAGTATTTTGTCAATTTAGGTTAAATGTCATCTGCGATCTTGAACCCAAATTGCAGGACAGATTTTTGTTGAATTAGTCTTCTCTGTGTCATTCTCTTTTGAAAGGATATGTTTCAGTAGTGTACTTTAAGATGCTAGAATTAATTTGCACTGCTTCTAACAGTGCAAATTTAGTGGAACAGCTAATAGTTTAGTGGAAAAACTCACAACAGCTATTGCTGCGTTACCAGACACATTAATATGTTATCAGTTTGAAAACTGATACTGCTGGTGACTGATGCAGTGGTCTAAATGACTAAATGTAATAAATCTGAGCCACTTGTATGTCAGATCTATAAATAGAGTAAGGACATTCTTTTGAGATGGAGTCTTGGAAAAAACAGATATGGAACCCCAAATCATAATAGAAATGAATGGAGAAATATAGCCCTAATACATTAAAAAACAGTCATATTTAATTTTTGTAGGATGTCTTTTCAGATTTGATGTTGGTAATGAGTCCTCAAGTTTCCTGGTGGCATAAATTGTTCATCTATCCATTTTCTAATCTGTTTATAAATCCACTACAGATTTGCAGGGGTGGAGCCAGAGTCTAACTCGGTAAGCAAGAGGTGAAAGGTACCAAGGCAAGAATGTCAGTCCATCTCAGGGAAAATCACAGACATACAGTAAACACACACTCATACCGGGACCAATTTTACAGAAGATGTAGTTGCACTATTTTTGAGTTAATCCAACGATAAATATTTTCATGTGAATAATCCTTAGACTCAGTGGGCGGTGCCACCTTTTAGCAACAATATTTATCAACCGTTATTGGCTTTGTAAATTCTGGCCCATTCTTCCTTACAGAACAGTTTGAAGTCAGTGATATTTTAAGGGTTCCTCGCATGAACTGCTCACTGCAGGTTTTGCCATAACATTTCAATGGGCAAGTGTGTATTGTCTTGCTGCATGGCCAACTTTCATCTCAGCTTCATTTTGATCAATGACACTGGTTTCATTAATGACAGTACGCTGTCTAGATACTAAGGCAGCAAAGCAGCTCCAAACCATAGTGCTCAAACCACCATACTTGACAGTCAGGAAGAGGTTCTTGTGTTGGAAGGCAGTGTTTGGTTTTTGCCCAGAGTATGTTTCTCATTAAGGCCAAAAAGTTAAACTTTTGACTTCTCTGCCCAACAAAGCATTCTTGCAGCAGTCTTGTGGATCGTCTAGGTGCTCTTTGGTAAAACAGGCAGCAGTGTTCTTCTCAGAGAGCAATGGTTTATTCCTGGCTATCCTCTCATGAAAACAATGCCTTAACTATCAGGAAAAGACTGAATGGGAATGAACACTGACCTTTGCTGTGGCAAGAGAGGCCTGTGAATCCTTAGATCCTTACTCAGGGGTTGTTTGTGACTTTCTGGATGATTTTCCAGGTTGCTGATCTTAGTAGGATGACCAGTTCTGTCTCTGTCTGTCTGATGGTGCGTGCATGAAGTCCCCAGATGTTTAGAAATGGTTGTGAACCTTCTCCAGACTGATGAGCATGAATTACTCTTTTTCCGAGGTTCTCTGAAATATTTTTATTGTGGCATGATGTTTCCACTTAACTGTATAGAAGGTTTCTGACTATTATATAGGACTGGGCTGCACAAATTCAGTCCTTTTTGACTTATGATTCTAAGTTACTCGCATGATTCTAATTATTCACTTAATTGTGCTAGGTAAAGTGCACTTATTATGTCACACACAGATTTTTAATTATTAATTTTTTCTTCTTTAAAAAATGTTCTGCATTAATATGGATAATATGCAAATAAAATGCATCTTAGCAAATAACCTTTTGGTTATTTAAAAAAAAGTTTTGATTTTAGATATGCATCATGGTAAGATTTCTTAAGATCAATAATGGACATTGTACTATAATGTATCTACTATTTACACTTTAAACAGTGTAAACTGTAGCAGCTGTGCACATAGAAATCAGAAAAGCAGTGCTGATTTTCTGGACAGAAACTGTTAATGGTTATGTGTTAAGGTTAGTTTGCCCTGCTCATTATGAATCATTAACCTCTGTTTAAAGACACCATAATATGCAAGGGAACACTAAACATGCTTCTAAATAAAGAATGTGTATCATATACAGTAAATGAGAAGCAGGATAACTTACATAATTCTGCTTCTCAACTATACTATATGCCCCCTTAAGACAACATGAATAAAACTATTTTAGAATATTTGAATGCTTACAACATGAACAATTTGAACTTAAGATAATAATTAAAAAAGTTGAGTAAAACACAAGAATTACTAAATTGTCTTTGATAGTTCATTTTTTCCTTATCAATAGTTTTATAGTGTAATACAATTATGCATCATTCTAAAAGTAAAACCAAACTTAATGCTGATTATGTTGCACTGATGTGAAAAAATAGTAGTTTGTGTTTCTTCTCTGTAAGCAATATTTTCAGTAGTAAGTAGTGAAAACACTGTTTCACTTTAATAGTGTTTAAAAGTTAAAAGTTAAAAGTGTTTTAAATTTAAGTGAGTCATATATACACATATACCTTTCTCCTGTTCACATAACTCCTGTTCAGTGTAGTAATACTGTTAATATTATACTAAAATGTATACTTATACTGTAGGTTAAGATTTTGGAATGTTTTTTAATAAAATAGACAACATTTTAAATTGAGACAATTATGTAATTGAGCCACACCTTTAAATAAGGCTTATAATCACCGTATGCCTAGATTGGAAATTGTGATACCTTAATATCTGTGACTGATTTAGAATTTTTTGAATTTTGAAGTTGTCATCACAACGCATACTCATCATTAAACATTTTCTACATTTTAACATTTAATAGGAACACTACTCTATTGTCCTGTTGAGACCATGTTTTTTATATGTAAAGTTAGAACAAAGATGCTCAACTAACACGATCAAATTCACTTTACCTACATAATTAATTAAAAACGGTGAACTCATACTTCACAGCAGTATGAAAACTAAGAAATTAGTTTTTACTTTTTAAAAGCAATATTTGGAAAGAAAAACAAGCTTTACAAGTTAATTGTATGCAATACATTTTAGACCTATGATGATGTCAAAACATGACTGCGTATTTCAGCTCAGTGACTGGATTTTATAAGCCAGTTGTTGCAATACATTTGTCATTCAGTAACATTTGGATCCTTAAAACTGACCACAAGAAACTGTAAAATCAGTTACACAAATATCTGGGCACCACAGTAGCCTGTTGATTAGCATGGCTTCCTCATAGCTCCTGATTTCCAGGTTTGATTCAGGCCTCAGATGCCTTCTATGGTTCCCTTTGACTGACCGGATATTATTTGGGTGTTCCACTTTCGTTCCACTGTCCACAGACAAGACATAATGTCGAGGTTAATTTTTATCTCTATATTACCTCTCTGTATTACTGTGCGTATACCCTGCAGTGGACTGGTATCCCATTCATGTTGTAGTCCCGCCTTGCTCCTTGCTTGCTGTGTTTGGCTCTGGCTCATGGTGATAAAGTGGGTGGATACAGTATAATGCAATGTACTGTATATTATCTACTTCACATTCTCCCACAGTTATTAATATCTGTGTTTATTAATTGATGATAAAACTCCGTAATATTTAAATTTTACATTTGTGTTATAAGGCTTATATCTTCTTTTTCTCAAATCTGAAATTGTTATGGGGTTTTCATCTATTTTATATATTAATCTCTGATTAAGTAGAGCAATTTTGAGGAGTTCTACATTTGGAGGCCATTTGAAATGCCTAAACATTTTAAAATGAAACAAAAATGTATAAAAGGTACTGTATCTAGTTTTTTTTCAAGTTATGGTGATCTTTTATTTTTGATGTTAACTTTTTTCTTTCTTTTATTTGTCTTTTGTCATTTCAGAGGAAGAACTAAGAAAACTAAGAGAAGAAACTAATGTTGAGTCATTAAAACAGGAACTAGAAAAAGAAAGGCAAAAAAGAATAGAACTGGAGCAAAAAGTCAATGACGTTCTGAAATCAAGGTAGGAGTTAAAGTTCATTGTTTTACACTGTGAGTTTGTTACCATCAAGAATGACTATTTTCATACGACAGTGAAAGTTTTAATGTCTGTATACAAGTAGCTCTCGATTAATACCATACCCTAATTTAGGATTAAAGCAGACCTGAAGAAGGCTTCACAAGCTGAAACATTGTGTCTCTTCTCTTATCTTTTCAGCAAGAAATAAACGTTTACCTGTTCCTTAATTTATGCAACTATTTCTTAATTTAATGCACATGTGCTGGATTAGTAACAGGTAGTTTGCCTGTGCTAAGAGTGTATGAAATAATATGCATTGTGCATACCTAGTTATGAACCAGGATGATGTTCATCTCACTTCCTTTCTCCCTTACTCAAGCAGGGTTTGGTAAGCCTGTGTCATGTTCTGCATATATGTATTATAGGGTGGCACCATGGTGCTGTGGTTAGCATTGCAGCCTCGCAGTGCTGGGGCCCTGGGTTTAATTCCTGGACTGTTACCTGCATACAGTTTGTATGTTCTTTGCGTGTTCACATGGGTTTGTACTGGGTGCTTAGATTTCCTCCCACTTCCAAAGACATACTAGCATGTTTGTCGGCCCCAGGGAAAATTGGCCCTACTCTGAATGTATCTGTGTTTCTGTTAGGAAACTTGGCTTACGAGACTAAGTGACATTCAGAAGGCTCACTGAGACTTAAAAAACAAAAGATAATTGCACAATCCAGATGTAGATTCGCCACCCACCCCTTCACATTTTACATGAAAATGATCATCATTAACATTTACTTTAAAAATAGATTTTAGTACAGCTATATAAAAATACATTAATAAGTGTGTGTAATTGTATTTAGTTGCCAGTTTAACCTTCTGGTTGGAAGTGGTTTCTGGACCCATCACCTGAACCCAGTTGCCATCTGTTTTTATGGGAAATTAGTCCTCAATGTGTGCATTTTTATTCCTGCAGCATTTTTCATGACTGTATCAACTAAATAAATCACAAACTACCTGTATTCTGTACAATCTTCATAGCTGCACTCTTTGGTTTTAATGATTATGATTTAATCATTAAAACAGAAGCCTAGGCTTAAAAGACATTTTCAATATGGAATACGATTGGAAAATATCAAATCAGAAGATCGGAAAGCTTAATCTATAACACAAAGCACTTTTTAGATGTGTAAATCTCACCATTACATAAATAAGTTAGAGCATAATCAGCATAAGGCATTATTTTTCCCCTAGCTGATCAAAAAATAAAACCGAGGAGAATTTTGCTTTGCAGAATTCAATTAATACAACTAAAAGCAATTTAACATTGGTTGATGATGATATTAGCATTTGAAATTTAATTAATTTGTAGAATGACTATTTCTTATAGCTTGGTGTTGCTGCTGCTGAAGTACTGTGTTTTTTGTGGGGAGTGAGTGTTGAAGTGCTGCGACTTTCATACGCTTCAGCGCTTGGTCCTGCTGAGAGTGTATTTTGTTGACTTGAAAATGGGTATATCTAAATGTTTAGTCCCCTACATTTCTAAATCATTAGCATAGATCCAAACGTAAATTATATAAATCAAAAGATCTTATTGAACCATATTTGTTTTTATCATTATCACTATACCTTTTAATGATGTGGTTCTATAATCCAGGGTGGGATCTGACTAACCATATCCTAATAAGGCTAATATGAAATTTAAATTAATCAATAATGATCCTGCTATTCAGGGCTTCAAAGCTGCTCAACCAGTAAAGGCACCTGTCAGGCATAAGATGAGCTCTTTAACCCTGGAGTCCAGAGGTTTGAGTCTGGGTCATGTCACTAGCCGACAGTGACCAGGATTGCCGAAGCAGCAGGGCGTATTGGCTGAATGCTGCCAAAGTTGCTCTACTAGTAAAACAGCGATTGCCTCTGGGTACCTGCAGGCTTGTGGTGATGTTGGTGAGGAAAGTACCTCTCCTACATTCGACATCACACTCCCTGCACAGACAAAGTCGGTGCGGTGTAGCCTGCCATGTGTTCCAATGGCTCCAAGGTGGGCAGGCTGGAGGAGTCTGTTTGCTCCTCCTTGTTTTTCCCATTGCATCTTTCACAGGATTCGTAGCTGTGAGCTAAGGCCTGAGATACAAGCAGTTGGCAATACCAAATTGAGTTGGTGTGTATCAAATATAATTGGATAAAGTTTTTAAACACATTGCTCAGGTTTCCATACTTCATCATGGGCAATATTATGCTTTGAATTTTTATTATTTTACATAGTTTGTTATTATTCTTGGGTTGCAAACCATTTTAAGGTAACAATTTGTGATATTAAAATGCTCTGAGGTATAGTGTTGCCGTACAGTACATGACTGTCCAGGACAAGTTAAAAATAGAATTGCTTGCTAACACATTGGCGGAGCATGTGAATTTCTCAAGGAGCAATTCTGCATGCCAATGAGTACAGCAATGTACTCATGCAAAACAAGTAACATACTAGCTTGATGTTTTTTCCACAGTGGTTATTGCACCCCAGTAATTATGTAATAGTTAATGTGATTAATTTCTGAACTTGTGAATCAGTTCAGTCTGTTTAACATATTTCATGGTTCTCCCAGATTTTGTGTAGCTACTTAATAAAGCACTGTAACTGAGAATTGTGGAAGCTTCTTGACTCCACTATATGCTTAACCTTCCTCTCTGCTCTCTACTCACTCAACTATTCTGGACTTCTTTTTTAATTTGTTTTTATCTGTTCATTAGAACATATGTAAGATTGCTATCCTTGTGAGTAGTGCTAGATTGTTAAAGGGTTACAAAAAATTTAAAAAGTAAGCACTTGGAAATACAAACTGTATTTTTGCATGTCTTAATTCACATTAATAAACAGAATATGTAATATGAGGTTAATTCACATGTAGTCCCCCCACAAATTATATTTAAAACTGCCTTGAGATTTTATTGTATTTAAAAATCAGTGATGAAAACAACAGTGCAGTACTTGAGAATACTTATGATGCTAAATTTCATAATGCTAAAATGGCCACAAACACAAAAGAAGACTTCCAATTTGAATTAAACCCTGTTAGGTTTTTGTTTAAAACATTAAACTGATTAGACTCCAGCATTTTTCCACCTAGGTGGGAGGATTGCACAGTGTGTTTGAGTGGAGTGGAGCTACAGTACTTTAGGCACAGGCTTAAAATTGGGTATATTAACATAAAGATGGAACTGAAGTTCGAACTAGTGTATGGAGTAAATAGGTTTGCAAAGGCAAAATGGGATAAAAACTGTTCTGTAAACTGTTCGGTATCAAATTTATCGTATATCGTTATGGTTATGGTCATAGACTGCTATGAACTGTGAACTATTCTGAACCAGTTCAGATTAATTGTTTTATATCTGCAACGAAACTGTAACACTACCTGTTGGAACCAGAGCAGGACTGGCTCAATACACTTCGTGTTAAAAGGTGATCTTTTGGTTTTCAAAGATCAAACAGAATTTCATTTTTATTTCACAAATGAATTTAAGTTTTATGTTAACACCTAACTATATGCAATTATTCCACAGACACACATATTAGAGTGAAATTATAAGACCAAACATCACTTCTAGTAAAGTATTTAAAATGGTCAAAAGTCATCATGAAGTAATGATGACTTTGCCTCTGTTAAGGAAGCTACTGTACTTTTAATATTGTTTTCATGCTGCCACTTCTATACAGTCCTGTATTTCAGTAAAGGACTACAAATTAAAGTTATTAATGGGACATTCAGGACATTTTTTGTTGCTTGGTTACTGGTATCTGAATTATTCAGGTCAATTTTCAAGAAAGGTCTGTATAAAGTCTCCTACTTTTTCTTTCTTGAATGGTCCAAATATTACTGTTATGTATTTTTTGGTCCTCATATTGCAGGTTATGTTCTGTTTTAAAACTGAACTCCAAATCAATGTATATTTCAAAGTCTTCATTAATTGGACCCTAACAGCTTGACTCCCAAATTCTGGGTGTGTTCTGATTTCTTATAAATATGTATTGAAGAGTGACTATATTTGATGTACGTCTCCAGTACCACTGTCCTTCATTGTGTTTTCTGTCTCTTTTTGGAAAAAAAGAACAGGTGAGAATTGATTTTGCTAGTTGTGAGTAGATGAATTGCATTAATCCAGAGTTTTTCATTTGATGTGAGAAATACTCTGTCTCCCTGGAATCATTCCTTACCCTTTGGCCTAGATTTTCAACAACAAAACTTTATTATGGTGTACTTTAACCATTACTGTTACTGTTTACATCACTGCTGCCTCAAAGTTGGAAAAGCTTGTATTTACGAGGGTTAAGTTGTCTGCTGAATAATGTTTTTTTGTTTTGAAATCCTCACAAATTGTAATTTCCTATTTTTTCTAGGAAAGTCATTTACAAAGCTCATGTGTTAGTATAAAAAATGATTTGCATCACAACAGGACAGGATACCTTCTTCCTGAGCTTTCAAATTCTTCATGTACAATATAAATCTCTCAGTACTAATGTTAATTGTCTTCAAATGAAAGTGTGTTCATAATCATTTAAAAAACATTTAATCTAGACGTTTATGAAGTTTCTTATCAGTGTATGGATTTGGGCACTATATTTGCTCAATTCAGTCAATTCAGTAGACTTTTTCAGTTCTTTAGAATAGACAGTGGAACATGAACTATGAGTCGAAGTTACATGGAAGTGCAGTTAGAACTGAGAACAGGCACTTCTTAATGTAAAGTGTTGTGGGTGTATGGCACAAGCTACAGTATCTGGCCATGTTGTCGAAACCCTGTTGATACCCTGGCTTCATTCAAAAAACACTTGGATGAAATCATTAAAATAATTAGCTGCTACCACATGGGCTAGAGGATCCAAATGACCTCGTTCATTTGAAACATTGTCATATTTTCCATGTAAGATTTCTGTGATCACATACAGGCACCCAAGCAACCTTTAGTTTTAAATTGATCATTGCAGTGAATGTATTTTTCATTTAAATAAGTGGGATGATAATATTTTCATTTTTCATTACCATCTGCCAGAAATAATGCTGAAAGAATTCTTAAAGAAGATTCAACCATTTTTTTAAATTAAAAAATAAAACATTGTTTTCTAAAAGACGTTTACATGAATTGTTATTTCTCTTTAGAATGGAAGAATCCCAGCCACCTCCAAAAGCACAGCCAGCTCCTGTCAATGGAACAGGTAGAGTACTCTATAAAAGTCACATAGAAGAGTAAAAGACTATAGTGTCAGTCTACTGAGGTTTAAAAGGGGGTGCTCCCTGCTTTATGCATATTTATCTTTACTGTTTGTCACTATGCTGAAGTTGTTAGAATGTTTTAAGTTTTTAAATCATGTGCCAACTCCCACTTACTACAGATGTACCAAAAATGAATTATTTTGTTTCCTTCCCACAAGAGCCTCAATTGTGCTACACAAACAGCACCTTCTACCCCTGACAAGAAAGTTTTTAATTGTGGAATTGATTAGCCTAGAAACTGACACTGGTTTTAGGAGTTAAGTCCTGCTGGGACTGGAACTTGTAGTATTAGACTGCAGGATGCAGACACTGAAAGAGTGGGAGTTCAAAATGAAGTTTGTCTAGGACTTTGAAATGAAATTTGTCAACCATATCTAAGCCCTGATTAAAAAAAACATCCTTTCAGTGAAGGCTATGTAGTTCACTTTTCAGCTGGGAGTGGTGGTGTTTTAAAAAGAAAGGCTGTCTCAGCAGCACTGCATCAGGGGTTAGGAGGGGGTGTAAAAATTATGGGTCTGAGCAGATAAATCTTTGACATGCTGCTTTGTTTCCATTTCTTATTCAGTGTTTAAAATAAGGGAAAAGGGCTGATGGTATAGGTTTTCATAGACTAGCTTCTGTTGCCTTGTAGTTGGTTGATTCAGAACAGCAAGTGACTTTTTAGTCAGAATCTTTTTATCTACAATTTGTGTGGGTGAATGTGTACTAAGGCACCAATGGAAAATGACTGTTTTAATAAAAGTAGTCAGGTTGAGTTCTTGCAAAAAAAGTAGGATCTCACAAACATAAATGACTTAAGTAAATGTCAGACATATGGCACACTTTCATAGACAGATATGACTGGGACCATGATGGGTTTTGTTAACTGTTAATTTTCATAGTTATTTGAAAACAACTAAGGAACCAAAACATCTTTAAACTCCAGTATTACAGCAAATAGAAAAATGTAAAAACATTTTTGAAAAAATCTGTTGAGACAAGTTAACACTGCATTGGACATCACAATCTTATGACCTGCTAATTTGATGTCATTCTGGCATATTTCAGTCACATTATATTTGAGAATGGATAAACTGTACAGAATAACCAAGGGTAAACAATTCTCTGTGTTTAAATATACAGTATAATTTTTCACCGAAAAGGGTTTTGATTGCTCAAGTGTCATACTGTACATACCGTTATTTCATATTTACCTACATTATCAAGTTTAACATTAGTGTGAACTGTATGTCTATTAAAAAGCTTTTATGATTTTAATAATTATTCATTTTTCCAAGCATAAGATTTATTTCATTTTTAATCCACCTTTTGCTTCAATTTTAATCCAGATAAAAGAAATGAAACACTCTGTTCAAGAATACAGAAATGGCTATATGATAAGTTTGGGGCATATATAGAGGACTTCAGATTTCAACCAGAAGAAAACACTATAGAGACTGAAGAACCACTAAGTGCTAAACGGTAAGCATGAATCTAACCAGAGCAGTCAATCACATCATAGTGCACTGCCATCTTATTTGATGATTTGAAATCAGTCTTTCATATTATTTGACCACATTTTTAAAATATTCTCTCTCACATTTAATGGGAGCAGGCTATGAGGTTGTAACACTGCAGCAACATTTGTTTTATAACTTCACTGAGGTTTTGCACCTCAGTGGGGTTTTTCGGTCACTTTTGAGCAAACATCCTCACTTTAATAGTGAAAGTGCACCTGAGGCATTTTATGACTGATGGAAAGGTTGTATTTAACTTCCCTGCTGTTAAACTCCTCATTTCATACATAGGGCAAAAATGCAAAAATAATTAAATTAGGAATTAGGCAATTAACATATTTAAAGAGTGCTGTAAAAACAAGGGTGCCATAGGTTGTTGAAACCAAAATTGATAAATTAATGTTTTTAATGAAAAATAGACCAGTGTATTTGTGATATTTATCTAAAAAAATCAAATTCCTACACAATTAAATAAGATGTTTGGTTTTACAGTATTGATTTCAAAGAGCCTGCAAAATATCTTTGAATATTTGTGATGTAACAATACATTGAACTCTGTAGCTATTACCTTCAACAGAGAGAATGCAGTATTAACTAGACCTGAAGATATCACAGAGTACATAACCGGACCTCTTCCCATGAAAACAAAACAGCACATTTCTTACTACAAAGCATACGATATGGTTATAAATAATGTGTTTATTGTCACTATGACGATTTGTGAAAAAATCAAGAATACTAATATCATTTGCATCTAAAATTAAACATGTACTGTATATATTAATGTTCAGATCATAATGTTTACAAGTCCAAGCACACCATGCAGGTTTATTTGTCATTAAGGACATTTTTGGCTGGATTGTTTCCAGTAACCTTTGTCTGTAGATTGAGAATGAACATTTCACATTTGTTTAATTTTCTTATCTGATGAAACTGGCATCTTGTGGTAGCTTGTATAAATAGCAGAGGGGTATGTCTGTATTTTGTACCCTGTATGAAACCTGACCTAATTTCTCACAAGTTAATAACATTCTTTTGGGATTCTTCACTGTGGTCCTGAGGCACTGCAGACACAGTGAGCCAGACCCTAAAGCAGTAAAAATGCTCTGGCTGTCTCGTATGTTGATATTGTTAAGCTTCTTCCCCCTTCCTGCATGGAGAAGCGTGGGTGCTTGGCAAACCACTGTTGATTCCCTGATTTCAAACTGTTCTGATGAGAGCGACTGAATTTCAATATTCTTTTTTTAGCCACTGTTGTTAGGTGATTTTATATAAAATGACTCACTGCAAGCTCATAAGAAATTCACTCTCCTTTCCAGCAGGCATTGATGTGTATTAAAATTTAGAGGGTAGCGTCTTATTGCATGCTTTTATTTCAGTAAATTTTATTCAGGAAAGAAAAGTGCAACACTGTTATTTGTGCCATTCTTTGTGCTGGCTGCAAACTTGAATTTTAAATGTTGTGAATTAACTTGAGCTATGTTTTTTTAGGTTAACTGAGAATATGAGACGACTCAGTAAGTATTTTGAAGTAAATCCTATTCTATCCATGCCTGGAAATTGTGCTTTATTAATCCACTTGTAATCTTTATAATTAGCTGACATTTGTATTTAAGAAGTGGGAAATACTATAGTATTTTTGAAGATATAAATACTGTTCTTTGTCTTCATGGTAGATTTTAAAACAGTACAGTATTTGTGGCTTAAGGAAATTGTTTAATAGAAATATGTTTTGAGAAAATAAAAATGTTTCTTAATTAATATGTGCTTCGCCTCATTCCAGAGCGAGGTGCCAAACCGGTAACAAATTTTTTAAGGAACCTTTCGGCCTTATCCAATTGGCACTCTGTGTACACGTCAGCAATTGCCTTCATAGTAAGTATCTCTGCTGCACATACTGTAAGACCTTGTTAGTTTACAGTAGAGTATACAATTCAGATATTTTTTCTCCTGAAATACAGTTTACAGTGCTTGATTAATTAAAGTGTATTTTATGATAGTCTCAGTGTGTCAGTTGCTTGTCATTACTAAATAATGTTTAAGAAGTGCAGATTTTTTCTCAAATCCAAACTTCTGTTTAGGTGGAAGTGTTCACATGGACAAAATGAGCTGCTTAGCAAAGGAAGTAAACTTTCTGTAATGTCCTTACAAAGCAGTTAGATTTGTAGTCTGTTGTGTTTTTGTATTAAACTATAAATCATGTTTAAATTAAATTATCTACTGTTGAGGCAAGGGGATGTTCTTGACTATAGAACATTAATAAAGAATAATATATTGTATATGCTCACTTTCCTTGATGCTAAAGGTACTTTTTCTTTCTCAAAAAAAGATTTACATGAATGCTGCATGGCATGGCTGGGCCATACCTATGTTCCTGTTTCTAGCCATTCTGAGGTTATCCTTAAATTACCTCATTGCAAGGTAAGAGTTCTTTCAGAGATAAGAAATTGAATTGGCTTTTTGTAGGTAGTGTTTAACCTTAATCGAAATGGATGATTTCCATTATGAACCCATCTAGATGTTTTGACTTATTTAAATAAAATTTAAGATTTAAGAAAATAATAAAATATATATCATTCAGAAGAATGTAGAAGTTTTAGGCCTTCATTGTTGCCATTTCAAATGAGATATGTCTAGTGTCTTACAGTATGTGATGTCAGTAACTATTAAACATTTCAAACCACTGCAAACTGTGATTTTAGTCTCTAGAATTAAAACAGTGACTGGATGGCAATCCTAGGTGTTCAAATTTGGATGAGGCTGCTTTTGGAAATTCTTTTTATTTTGATTCATTTAGAAATTGACTGTCAAATTAGATAGTATCAAATATTTAACAATGCCAGCTTTTAAAATGCTTTCATGTGCAGAACAATGCGTATTTGCGGTATTTAGTCTTAAAATTAAACTCCACCACCTTGCACTTCTTTTCAACTCGGTGCTGGAACAATCTTGGCCCAAAATAATATTTGTGAATTGAATTGTTTAACAATATTTGTAAATAATGAAGTCCAATTATACCCATCTGGTTCATTTAATGCTTTCATAAAAGACATATAACTGCTTTCAGCAACCCAGAAAATAAATACAATATTTAAACAGCTTTGCAGTCTCATAACCTAATTTTAATGCTAAATATTATAAATACATTTTGCTTTTATGGTCAGAAAAAATACACACCACCTCTTTAATGTATTACTGTATAGGAAATATGACATAAGCTACAGCATAAAACCATTGAGAAGATTAGACTTGGATAACATTGCTATGCATACAATATGTGTATATAAGCATCTCTTGATATTTACTATCTGAGCTTATAGAATTTTGATTCAATGTATTTCAAAGCAGTTCCTGTTTTTTGCAGGGGTTGGAGGATTCAGTGGAGCATTGTGCCTGAAGTTTCAGAACCTATGGTAAAGTAAATTATTTAAAACACATACAGAAAATGGTTACTTTTCATATTGAATGTGCCTTCTTACAAAATGTCAGTTAGTTGTACTTTGAGTCTTCAGAGCATTTCTTGTTCATGTGAATGGAGCAGAAAATTTCAGGCCAAAGTTGATTTTATGCTTTTGATCCAAATATGCTCCAGATATTTGGATCAAAAGCATAAAAGCAAATGCATAGCTAATGCCAAGCATAAAACCAAATTACATGACAGTGTAATAGGGTTTTTTACTAATTCTACTGAATGGCACTTTCTGATTTACATTTTAATTTCTAGGAACCTCCAAAGGAAGATCTTACAGTATCAGAAAAATTTCAACTAGTCCTTGATGTTGCACAGAAGGCACAGGTAATGCACATTAGTTTGTGTATCAAAAGAGATTTTTAATTATGTGGCTTCGTTTATATTTCATCCATACAATATCTGGTTGAAGGATCTGGCACAGGTACAAATAAACTTTGTTCAGGCAGTATATCCTTGGAACTATAATTGTCTAAAAATTTGAAATTTTGTGACTAGTTTGGGGGCTTATACAGTAAATCTTGAATAGAAAAATGGGGGCCATTTTTTCATATAAGTTACGCAACTTAATTGCTTAAGTATTACTTTAGGGCTGTGCTTAAAGCCTTCAGAAACCACTTGGTGATGTATTTTTACACCACACCAGTTGTGTTAGATAAACAAATAGTTGAGAGTATATGCATAGAATTTTGCATCCATAAGTGTGCTATAGTGCCTTTTGAGATGGAATTATTAGATATATTGTGTGTAGAGACAGGTGAACATGCACCTCAAATCAGATTTATAAATTGATTAGAACTAGGCTTTTTATTGCTGACATTTGCGTAACTGATCACTTTTTTAATAGCATAACTAAGAACTTTCTCTTACTCAGAACCTGTTTGGCAAGATGGCAGATGTCTTGGAAAAAATTAAAAAGTAAGTTGTTTGCTTACAAAACATTTCACACAGAAAATTCTGACTGCAGATGTCTTGTAAAGGAAGAAATGTCTGCACTTTTAATTCCTTATAGTCATTAAGTGTGATTTTTGTTTATTACTATTGTTGTTTGCAGTCTGTTCATGTGGGTTCAGCCAGAAATAACGCAGAAGCTTTACATAGGGCTCTGGGTGGCTTTCATTTCATCATGCTTCTTGCCCTACAAACTGATGGGCTTCATAATAGGTAAGACCTGTAACATTACTGTTGATTTTTGTTTGTTTGTGTGGGATTATGTTTTGAGTCTGTTGATGCTAGGCAGTACTAGGAGGGGGAGGGAAGCTGTTGTGAAGACTAGCCTGTGAAGTCTAGTGTGTTCTTCTGGCATGTTTCTGTGTTTTTTTAGGTGATTCTGCTTTTTTATTTCCTCAGTCTTGATCAGTCTACAGATAATTGCAGAAGCTAGAAATTAAACTGAAAAAGTATGACAGTTGATTTGCTTACAACGAGTGCTTCTTTTTTATTCTTACATTTTCATCATTGGTTTATGATGATCTCTTTCTCATTAATATATTTTACAGGAGAGTGGGGTGGAACTCAATTCATAGAGAATCACATATTTAGTCCTGCTACAATGCAATTTAAATATTGAAAACATTTAATTAAATTTGTAGTTACTCAAAAGAAAAAAGTAATCACTGAATATCCAGTTGCAAGAAAAAGTTTGTGAACCCTTTGGAATTACCTGGATTTCTGCATTAATTACTCATAAAAATGTGGTCTGATCTTCAAATAAGTCACAATAATAGACTAACACAATCTGCTTAAACTAATAACACACAAACAATTGTACTCCTTCTTGTCAATATTGAAAAGATTGTTTAAATATTCAGTCTTTTCTGCCAAAGAGTTCAACTTTGTCTCATCCGTCCACAGAACATTGTCTCAGAAGCATTGTGAAACATAAAGGTGGTCTTGTGCAAACTTGAGATGTGCACCAATATTTTTTTTTGAGAGAAGTGGTTTCCTCCATGGTGTTGTTCCATTAACACCATTCTTGTTGAGTGTTTTTCTTATAGTGGACACATGAACAGAGAGTTTGGCAAGATCAAGAGATTTCAGTTACCCTAGGGTTCTTTTTCACCTCCTTCAGCATTGCACACTGCGCTCTTGCCTTGATTTTAGCAGGACGCCCACTCCTAGGAAGTATAGCAACATTACTGAAATTCCTCCATTTTAGGACAATTTGTCTTACTGTGGATTGATGAACATCCAGGAATTTCGAAAGGTCTTTTGTAGTCTTTTCCAGCTTTATCCATATCTACTGTACAGTTCTTCTTCTAAGGCCGTCTGATATTCCTTTTGATCAGGACATTGTTCACATGAAAAGCTCTTTCTTGAGTTCTGTCAGTAACCAACCTTTGTGTGCCTTGTTTATAGGGTAGGGCACCTCTAACACACAACTCCCATCTCATCTCTTTGATTGGAACACCTGACTCCAATTAGCTTTTGAGGTTCACATTTTTTTCAAACCTAGAAAGTTTAAACGATGTACTCAGTACTGACAAGAAGAAGTACAATTGTTTGTGTGTTATTAGTTTAAGCAGATTATGTTTGTCTATTATTGTGACTTAGTGGAAGATCAGACCACATATTTATGAGTAATTAATGCAGAAATCCAGGTAAATCCAAAGGGTTCACAAACTTTTTCTTGCAACTGTATCTGTAAAACATGAATATTCTTTCGAATGTTTTAGTGTGACTAAAGGAAGAAGTTCTGTGTTTAATTTACTGTATGAAAGTCTTGCTATATATTTACATAAATTATCAACATGAGACAAATATCTGTATGGTTATTCCACTGTGAAATCTGGACTCATCAAACCTCGAGAATTTTGAGAGATTAACAGAGGTGCTTCAGTTGCAGATGAAACAGTTGATTCATACTCCTGATGAGGGAAGTAAAGGAAATCTACTGCTTTCACTGAAGCAGATCAGATAACTCGAAAGACAAAATGTTCTAAAATTCCTCATGTTCCACCTTGAGTGCTGAAAGTTTGAAAATTTGCAACAATTATTGGGGAATGACAATACATAATTTTTGTGAAACTTCAGACACAACAATGGGAGTTCTTCAGCCATGCAGGAATATGTCTTTTAAGCAAGAGTATCCGTGGCTCATGGCATGAACATTTACAATGGTTAAACGCCAATTTGTGTGTATCAAATAATTAACAGATGATCAAGAAATTTGCAGTCCTTTGATTTTTGTACTTTGTCAGATGCAAAAGTCAATTTTTATCAGGTAATGGTAATATTACTGTTAATAAACTTTTGGACTGTTTGTTAACCCAGACAGTTTTTGTTTGCATCTTACTCAAAGTCTAAAGACGTAAGTGTTCACAATATTTTGTGAGCCATTTAAAGTTTCTCATATATGACTGTTCTGCTCCTTAATATGAAATAATTATTCATAATTAATCTCTGGAAGAGGTATCAGTTTAGTCTTAATACTATGAGAACCAGTGCCTTTAGCAGTACAGTATATGTTCTGTTGTTTACTTCAACATTTGGTAGAATATTTTGAAAATATTTTGAAAAGCTCTAGAGAAGCAGTCATGATTAATGACATGCCACTAGGGATCACAAGAGCCAGGGAGGGCATGATGGCAGATATAAGTACAACCCACACAGCCCATGCTTTTACAATATGTCAGCATAGACTCAGGTTTCAATAAGTGGTGCCTCCCAGATGTTGGCAGCATTTTTTGAAAGCTGGTGCCAAAAAGCACAGCTTGTAACTAAGGAAGGGTTAAGAAAAAGTCCATAAAGTTTGTGTTGACCAAGGGAAAAGAAAACAAGCTACAGTGATCACAATCGAATGCATTCTGAGAAAGATATTCTGGTCTTACTTGGAATGTTTTGCAATCATCTAGAGATGAATCTAAGGAGAAAATTGAACAACAAAGCCAAGATTTTTATGTACTGTATACAGGCTGATCTATTTTATTTTGCTGTTCCAGTCTCTCCTTATGTCTATATTGCAGATTGGCTTTTTTGTCTCTGTAGAATTACCTGTGCTGCACTGTCTTTGCAGACTTTACTGACAATTTTATTTAAAAATTGTGACAGTAATTATTCCCTGCATAATCAAATCCCTGAAGATTCAGAAGAAATGATTGATCAGATGAGCTCTCCATTTAATCTGTAATTGAATACCCGGAAATTGTCAAAACTTCAGTATGAAGACAATCCCTCTTAGGTCTTAACTCTAATGTATGTCTTTTTTTTTCTCTTGACAGGGGTATATGCTGGAATAAAGTTTTTCATTATAGATTTTATCTTCAAACGCTGCCCAAAACTCAGAGACAAGTATGATACCCCCTATATTGTCTGGACGAGTTTACCAACAGACCCACAGCTCAAAGAAAGGACAAATGCCACAGTGTCAAGACGGGTAATCAAGATATTTTCCTGTTGTTTTTTTTTTCAGTTGAAAACATTCACCGTGTATGGCACATTTTGATCTGAAGCACACTGTCTTGTTTGCAAAATATTATTTGTCAAGTGTTACCAGGCAATCCATGCATTATTGAATACAGAAGTGTAGGAACTATAAAAGCCAGTTCGTTTAAATCCTGACAGCATCTGATGTACAAATACTCCCCAACTTTACGGAAAAATTTGACTTTGCGTAAAAAGTTACATGCAGCCTCAGTTGCCTCGTGTGCATTGTCTGAAATAATTTCCACTGTGTGTTTGCAGTGTTACCCTTTCAATCATGTCTGAAAAATGTTCAAGTGATGTGAAAGGTACCAGTGCTGTGAAAAGTGCCATTAAGTTACTCTGTAAGAGGTCTTTTATTATGAGTGCACACTATACTGTCATCATAGTATTGGAATAATGAAATTTTGTATTATTGCTGTACTGCAATAATGATAGCAGTTATAAGTGTGAACGCACAAGATACAGGTAAGAGTGCATTATAATTTACGTAAGGTTGTACAGATCATAACCCTTATGTAAGTCACCTGTAAATAACTGTCATTTCAAGATTAATCATCCAAAATGTCTTTAATTAGCTTTTGCAGCTTAGTATGACCATCTATTTTTTTCTGGATGTTGAATATTAAGATCCATTTTTGTTTGATATGTAAATGGTATTGGTAAATACATACCACAGAACGTTGGTTATAGTTACTTATTAGAAAAGTATATATTTTTACAGTTTTTCAATAATCTATCATTCACCAATATTATAGATAAACATACTATAATGTTCATTTACTCAGCCATAAAAAACTATGCTAACAGGTTGTTCTACAATAAGCAGAATTATTAAATTAAGGGGTGACTGGTCAGTGAGTATCCATATTCAAAATATAAATGCATTAAAATATGAAAAACAGGTATAATAATTTTGAATTAATAATAATTGTTTACACTTATATAGTTCTTTTCTGGACACTCCACTCAAAGCGCTTTACAGGTAATGGGGACTCCCCTCCACCACCACCAATGTGCAGCATCCACCTGGATGCATGATGATATAGTGCATGATGATGACCAGATGCAATTTTGTATCATAAAAAATAATTTAAATTGATATCAGTGTTTACTTATTTTTTGATTCCCTTATGAATATAGTCCTTTACTGCAGACATGATATCTTTTTTATTTTTTGGGCTTTACATTAATGCAGTATATGTTTTTATTTTTCTTGTTACAAGTTTACAGTATGTTTCCTTTCAGTGTTGCTTTGTGGTCTAACATGCTTCTAGAGATAGTGGCTTTCTTTTAAAATGACCTTTGCTTCACTATACATGTTGTTCTTTGTACATGTTGTCTGTAAAGGGCTTTATCATGTGACTCAGTTCTTGTTTCATTTCTTATTCTGTGGCCTAACCATGGCACTTTTTTCTTTTGTCACTGTCACATTTGTGTTCTGTTATTTCTTTTCCTGCCAGCTGTCAGGGTACGAAAAGGTAGGGACTTGAATGTGTGCGACAGTTTTCTGCTTTAAAAGTGCCTGTGTGTAAGATGAACTGACATGTCATGTGTAATAGAAATTAGAAATTCGGGTAGTGTGTAGTGTATGTTTTTATGGATCAAAATGTGTCCCATGTGTTTTCACACTGACTGTGTAAAATGTGACTTAAAACAAGTCATTGTAAAATGAACCAAAAGCAGCACAGCTGTATCCCTAAGTCTGAATCACACCCTAGGGATCAATGTGCATTTCTTTGGTGTCTTTAACCATTCATTGTTTTTATGGTGTTCCATGTGGTAACATTTTTATCCATTTTCATGAAAGTATTATTACCAGCATTCTATTCCCAGTAGAAATACAGCTATCCAACCTAACATCCATGTAATATGGGTTGAATAAAATTGTGCCTCTGTAACTTTGATGGCTGGAATATACTAACAAAGGGTGAAATATACTGTTGCTCAGATCTTAGAGTGTAATGTTTCTCCACATGTTTTTATTTTCTAATCATTCCTATGAAATTGCTTTTACTTTAATAATATAATTTATTAATTTGTTATTAATGTTTGTTGTTTTCCTGAACCCTCTCAACAGTATAACAGATTGGTGGCATTGTGGTATTTGCTCATAATACTATTTTACTCATAATAAATCTAGTAAAAAAAGCCAAATCTTTTTTTACTAGATACATACAGTACTACTGTAACCGTTGTATTGTAACCAAATGCATCTGGTATCACCTCACAACAGATACTTTTCTTACACACTCTGTCTATAAGGCTGCATTAACATTTTGTAAAGTAATGCATGTGAATTAAGGCAACACAAAACCAGGCTCACAGACTGGACTACATTCAGATACTAATATATGAAATTCCTTTGTTAATCTCTACATTTAAAAAATAATTAAATAAATATTTTAATAAATAATAATTGTTATAATTATTTGCTATTCATGGAGTAGAGCAAACAGATTCTGTCTATGCTTCTGCATCCTTGCACAAGAGCAATGGAACACATTTAAATAACATCACAAAACAGCAGTACTGTTGCGGTACTGTATATTAGAACCACCAATCAATTGAACAATATCAATACCAAGTGTGTATTCCCTGCTGAATAGAATAATTGATTAAAACAGCATTCCAAGCCCTCAAACAAACTTTCTACAAATAATTACATTATCAATTTGTTTTGCACATCACACATACAGTGGGTATAGAAAGTCACCACCCCCTTTCAAAGTGTTCACCTTTTGTTACCCTAAAGCTCAAAAAGAAGACAAATAAAATCAGACTTTTTCAAGTTTTATTTACAAATTGTACCTTGCAACATCCAAGTAATAAAAGAAAGCAAAATTTCTGAAAAAATAAAAAAACTAGAATAACTGGGTTGGATTAGAGAACTCGCTCCTGAGTTAATACTTGGTGGAAGCACCTTTTGCAGCCTTGAGTCTTGCAGACTCAATTACAGCCTTGAGTCTGTTTGGATACATTGCTGCCAACTTTGCACACCTAGAGGGAGGAATATTTGCCCATTCCTCCTTACAGAATTGTTCAATCTTGGTAAAACAGCATGGTGACTGTCCTCTTCAAGTCATTCCAAAGATTTCCGATGGGATTTAAGTTGGGGCTCTGACTAGGCCACTCAAGGACATTCACCTTCCTGTTCTTAAGCCACTGTACGGTTGCCTTGGCGGTGTGCTTTGGGTCATTGTCATGTTAAAGGTGAAGCATCTTCCCATTTTCATCTTCCTGGCTGAGGGCTGCAGGTTTTTCTTCAACAATTTGCCTGTATTTTGCACCATCCATCTTCCCTTCTATCCTGACAAGTGCCCCAGTCCCAGCTGAAGTGAAACACCCCCACAACAGGATGCTGCCATCACTGTGCTTTACTGTAGGAAGGGTGTTCTTTGGATGTATTGGGTTTTCGCCAGACTTACTGTTTTGCATTCTGGCCAAAAAGCTCGATTTTGGTCTCATCTGACCACAGCACCTTTAAGCAAAACATTAACGAGATTTGATATGGCTTTTTTTAAGGAGTGGCTTTTTTCTTGCCACCCTCCCATACAGGCCAGATTTGTGGAGCGTTTGTGATATTGTTGTCACATGCACACAATGACCAGTTGTTGCCATAAAGGCCTGTAGCTCATTTAAAGTTGCCATCGGCATCTTGGTAGCCTCTCTATCAGTCTCCTTCTTGCTCGGTCATCCAGTTTGAAGGGACAGCCTGATCTAGGCAAGGTCTGGGTGGTGCCATATACCTTCCAATTCTTAATGATAGTCTTGACTGTGCTTCATGGTATACTTAAAGCCTTTGAGATATTTTTATACCCATCTCCTGACTTGTGCCTTTCCACAAGTTTATCTTGAAGTTCTTTTGAATGTGCCTTTCCGCCCATAGTGGATTCTTTGCTTTGAATTGCACTTCCAAGCAGTGGAATCCTCTAGAAACAACTGCTTTTATTCTGAGCTGATCAAAATCACCACAATTGATCACAGGTGGGAGCCAATTAGTTTGTTGTGTGATATGTAAGGTGATTGGTTATACCTGAGCAAGTTAACAAATGCAATTACCGTATAAGGGGAGTGTTCACTTATCCAAATAAGGTATTTTACTGTTGTAGTATTATTTTTCAGAATGTTTTATAATTGGATTTTCACTTGGATAAGATAAGGTATACTGTGTGTAAATAAAAATGGAACAAGGCTAATTTAATTTGTTTTTATTTTCAGAGTGTCATACAACAAAAGGCACAAATTCTGAAAGGGGGTGGTGACTCTGTACCCACTGTGTCAATTACTTTGGTAACAAAAGTTTTGTCTAACTCATCTAGCATAAATCCTAATAAATTAAACAGTTTAAATGGGTAAAGATATAATTCGATTGAAGATAACAGAAAAATCCTAAATGTTTTAGCCACAACCCTCACCAGGACAAGCAGCCTGAAAATGGATGAATGCACAGTGTCAAAATACTCTGGATTCCCCGCTTACAAAATAACACAAAAAGGAGAGAGGATATTGAAAGTTGATTTTACAAACACTAATCAGCTCCTATTTTAAATTAGCCAGTCAAGGGTTATGTCTCATCAGAGTCTGAGAAACTATTGTAATGTAAAGAATTAGTTGGCATTCTGTGACTTCAGTTGTTTTCGTCAGGTAATTGCCCACATTTAAATTGCAATCATTTCAATAATACAATCCCAACATATACACAACTTAGGTACTAAAAAACCTATAAACAGGAAGAATTACGTGCTAGTTAGGGTCATTAAAATGTTGAAGTTGTCAGGTAAATTAGTTTATGTGGGTAAAAAAATGAAAAACATGGGTATTAGTGAACTCAAAAGTAATATCAATTATCTTGTGGCTAGACATTTTTCAGTATTTAACCATCTATTTTCTAGTATTTATGAGGTTTATTTCAACAAATAATTGCACCATCAGTTTGTATCGCAAATCACGTTTACACATACCAATTACATTGGTAACGAAAGATTTGTCTTACATATCTAGCATAAATCCTTATAAATTATCCAGTATACAGGTAAATGATATCCCATATTTATGAGGTTTGTTGGTGTTCAAATAATTGACAGTCAGAAAAGTTCACATCCATGACCAGTTTGGAAATTTTACAGTGCTGACTTACCATTATTGTAAACTATTACAAATTATTTAAGTATACATTTCAAAATGAAACGCTGTATTTAATAAATAAATGAATTCTAATAAATCCCCCCAAATGAGAACTTGTTTGAACATAAATATATTTAATGGCACTATAGCCAAATACAAAACCTGTTCATGAAGCCTATGTGAGCAATTGCAAAAATGGTTGAAATGAATTACAAATTATGCAATGCTGTTTAATTAATCAAACAATGATGTGGTTTACTGCCTTATCAAGCCTTATGATATATTTTTGTTTGTGCTTCTTGGTAGTTAATGTCCAGTCTACAACAAAATCCATACAGATTGAACAAAGAGAAAGCAATAACCTCCTAGATGGTATTTTGAGCAAATACGACATTTTAAATATTGAACATAATCCAAGAATATTGGAGTAATAGGAATTTGTAGTGGTTGTCAAAAAAGTTACCCTGCATTTATATTGTTCAGGACTTGGTGATGTTAAGGATTGAAGTCATGGTATTTATGAGCTGCAGTCATCATGCAGAAAATACCCTAATGTCTACAAACCTGAACTTTGACATCAGTTTTCTGATCATCTTTCTTTTTACGGCTTGAAATCACATTTTACTAAGTGTGTTGGGTAACCTTAATGTGTAACCTTAAAGTGTCTGGTTTCAATTTTTATTGTAGCAGATATTATCAAGAGCATGCAGAGCAGGTTTGAGTGGGGAAGCTTAATCAGCATGCAAGCTGCAAAAGAACAGGTTAATTCCATGCTAAAAAGTAGAAAGAAAAGACAGTGTTTTTCTAGGTTTTGTTTCACAGCCAAAATGTTGTTGTTAATTAATTCCTTACACTTATATAGCATTTTTCTTGACACTCCACTCAAAGCAATTTGCAGGTAATAGGGACTCCCCTCCACCACTACTTACAGTATGTGCCGCATACCTGGATGATGCGACGGCAGCCATAGTGCGCCAAAACACTCATCACACACCAGCTATTAGTGGGGAGGAGAACAGAGGGATGAAGCCAGTTCATGGGGATTATTAGGAGGCCATGATCAGTAAAGGCCAATGAGAAATTTGACAAGGACGCTGGGATAAAACTACTACTCTTTTTGAGAAACACCCTGGGATTCTTGATGACCACAAAGAGTCAGCACTTCCGTTTTATGTTACATCCAAAGGACCTAACCTTTTTACAATATACAGTAGTGTCCCTGTCAATATACTGGGGCATTAGGACCCACACAGACCACAGGGGGAGTGCACCCTGCTAGCCCCTCAAATACCTCTTTCAGCAGCAACCTTAGTTTTTTCTAAGGTTCAACTCAGTTGTAAATTTCAGCGTGATATGGCTGCTGGCAGTAGCACCATATATTGTTATGTTTCTTTTTACTTTTCAGTGTGGAATTTACCTCTGCTTGTTCTTTTATAACTAGGATTATTTTTTGTCTTTACTGCCAAACTGTAACCAGGGGGTCTTGTTGAAATCAGAGGAATTAAGGTGTTGCTATGATAGCACTACTTTATCCTTCGTAACTCAAAAATAATTAAGTAAACTGGAACCAGACAAATACTATAATTACCATATCTTATTTGTTCAGTGCAAGGAAGTTCATTGTTATCATCTCCTCTTGGAGTGAGGAATGCAGCTTTTGAGGAGGTGAGAGGTTATTGTGGTGTAGCTTTTGTCAAAATGTCATGAGAATGGTGTACCGTAGAGAAGTAGGGCTTATATATATAAGCCTTAAGTCTTTTTTTAAGATATTATCCGTGCTTTACTCACCACATGGTGCAAATATAGCATTATATAAACAGGATGTGCTCAGTGGTTTGGTCTTCAAGGTCATTTTGCAGAAATGTTTGGAAAACTAAAAGGTTAATAGTTTTGAAAAATGCATTCGAAACTAAGTTCTTTGTAATGAGACCTTTGTGAACATGTACAGGAAAGGTCTATGCGTTCACAGTTGTCAGCTTTTGGGAATCACATGTGACTACTAATGAATTCAACAAATATGCATTATAGTTCAGCGTACAATAATATAGATATATATATTAAAATGTTTAAGTACAAGATTTAACACATGTACATGACAATGGATGGCATGTCATATTTAACTTCTTAACGGATTAAAAGTTGTTAATCTATGTAAGAGCATTGCTGTCACCAAGAAAAAAAATGTTTAACATGTATCACTTAATTACATGATGATTATCGTATGTATTTATATGACATTATTACATAATAGTTCGAGGTAAAGTGCCACATCCAGTAATAGTGATTTATTTTGATAGAGCCTTTCTTGTTTATGGACGTTTGAGTGTCCTTATGCTTTTAATGGTTCTGTTGCTATGAATTTAAACATGCAAGATTTTCTTATGGCTAAATCCCAGTTGAATTTACTAATTCAGCATCTTTGGACATCCTCACAAACACTATAGTGAAAGGACTAGTTGAGCTGTATCAGTATCGTCATAGTTACAGTTGAGCTGTATGGTGCTGTGATTGCAAAATGTAATGTAGTTTCTTCATAAAATCAAATTATAATCACATAATAATGTTGGAAAGTTCAGGTGAACATGTAATAATCATAATGTTATTAGGTGAAGTTATTTTTTTTTCTTGGTGGCAGTGGTGCGCAACCATATTAGTCACACCAATTAAAGGACTGACACATTCTCTATACAGCCCTGTTTAGTTATTCTCATGCTGAATAATGTTAACTTTATTCCAAAGTAACCCCTTTCCACTACTGTACTCAGGTCTCTTTTCTCTTTCTACTGGACTTAAATTGAAATAAATTCAGGCCACATTCTAGTATTTTGAGAAGCTAAGTTATCTGTCTTCTTCTGAAACATCAGAGATGTATTTATCTGAATAATTAAATACTCCTTTTAATAATCTTTATTAGATGTCAGTTTATCTCCTAAACCATTTTATTTTCCGTGTGTAACTACACTAGCTAATGATGTCATCCTTAACTGACTAAATTAAAAATGACTTTTGTTGTAACTCTCCTGAAGATGCAGTCATTTTTCAGCCTTTTCAACTAATACAGTAGACTTAAAACACTTAGTATGATGAGTAATATAATGAGAAAGATTCTTAAATTTTAAAAGACAAAAGAGAATATCAGAGCTAATAGATCTTTAAAATCTGTATTTTCATGATTAAGATGGTGAAACATGAATAAAGTCAAATGATTAATTTGACATTTTGTTTTGATGTTGCGTGTCTTCTGAAAACAAACTGTGATGTCACATTGTGACTCCAAAGGCACGTTCTCCTGTAACCATATTCAGTAATAATTAGCATGAATGGAAGTTTTTGCCCCAGGGTCTCAGCACTTTTTCTGACACTTTCTTAAATACAAAATATTAGGTGTTTTGTTTTAATGTGTTGGTCTAACCTACTGTATGTTGTTTTAGAATGTTAAGATACAAAAAGTTCTGATAACATTAACAGTACAGCTTTACACAACAGATTGGTGTTCCCAAGTGCTATATGCCATCTTTTTTTCAGCATGGACCCTTTGTTGGAAAATGTTTGCACTGGTTTGATTCTGTTTGGCAGGCTTTGCGGATGGCTTTTATTTGACAGCAAATGGTTCAAACACAAAACTTGTATGAACACAAACGTGCAATGTAAATACATTTGTTCTTAAATCTGTTACTTTGGTTCATTGACATTAAGATTACCAGTCAACAAAAACTACAAGAGCATGACGTGATATTTCACACCAGCCCTTTTTGAACTCTATGACATCTCTGGACTCTGAAATGGGAAAAATGGCAGATATAATGTTTGCCAAAGAGGATGTAGTTCAAATTTAAGTTTATTCATATTTTAAAATCGTTTTCAAAGATTTTGTCCCAAGACAAATTTTCTTTCTGCTGTTTACATTCTGTTCCTAATATAAGATGTTGTTTTTGTTCTTAGTAAATAGTAGGAAAGGGTTCTGTTTCTTCAAATACATTATCTGACATCATTTTTTGTTTTTTTGATATCATCTTAAGTAGTATCACATAACCCTTTGTACCTACTTTTCCCATCATATACTCTCAAAGGGATATGAGATATAGAATCATTTTTAATAACTGTCATGCTCTTGGCATTACTGATTTTTGTTGAGACTAACTTAGAAGTCACAATTTAGTATTTCTAAATCTATTATTCTAATTGATCATAACACAGAAAAAGAATACTCTCTGACTTTGTTGAAATGCTACATAAAAGAGTTGAATACAAACTTGTATTGCAAGTTTGCATTGTGCTTTGCATGAAATTAAAAACTAGTGGCAATGCATATTCTCAGAGACAAAAAAAAATTAAAGTATTTGCGTAGCCTGTGTGCCAATTTAAAAGATTCTGTTTAGAAAGCAATGATCTATCAACAATTCTCTCTGCAACAAGGGATTGTGTTCACGTGTCTGCTGTTTCATTAAAAAACTATTTGGCTTTTAAATCGTTTAAAAACGTTAAGCTTTCTAGGTAATAATTATAGAGTTTACCACAACAATTAACCATTTCTTCTGTTGCATCGACCCACTACTGTGTGGCTTTTTTTTTTAATTTGCTAATTAGAATTCCTGGCTCTCTTTTGTTTTATAGGTTCAACCAGTTGCATCCAGAAGCAGTTTGGGAACCAATGCACCATGTGGGATCAATAGAGAAGAAGAAGGTGGGCGATCACACAGCACCAAAAAAGGCGCATTCCATGAAATCTTTAATTTAGCAGACACAGAACGCCCTCTGCCTGGTATGTAACTAATAAGAACTTTTTACTTAATCTCTCCTCTTATTTTCCCTTTCTTGTCTCATCACTCCATCAGACCTTATTGTCCTGAGACTGCAGCAGAATGTTGTGGACATGCAGTTGGGAAGGAATAGAAACACAGCAAATAATTTCTTAAATTTAAGTAACATGTTGGGAGAAACATTAAAATAGTCTTTCATTTGTCATCCCTTTATCAGAATTTTGGATGTTTTGCCTGCTGACCTAATAATTTTTGACTGAAATATGTCAAAAAAGATTAATTGATGGGCTTAATCCATTAAATATTATGTGTTTCTCATTGAAGTTCATTATTCTTTATTCAGTTCAATTCAGAGTACTTTGATCATCTCCAAAGGGCAATTTATGAGGTGGTAATTTAATTTAAAACATGTTAAATGATTTATCTCATATTTTATTTAAATATGTGGTATGAGTAACTTAATTTTATTTTATTTACAGCTCAATTTGAATTTCACACACCTTGCTTTGTTTTACATTTGTTTCTCTGATGTTAGAACAAAGGAATACAATTTATAGTTTTTCCATAGCTACTGTATGAACATCTAGCATTCTACACTGACCCTTGGCTCATTGATTCCTAAAACTAAATACTACAATATAGTGATTCTAAAAAGTCTTCCACAGATAATCCATGCTGTTTCCACATTATGTGATTGTGTCACACACAGTTCTCTATTAAAACATTGCCATAACTGCATGGTGAAACCAGTCTTTGTGTACTTGTGGTCATTTTCTCATTAGCTGCTCAAATTAGCTCTCGTAGTCCCCAACAAATGTGTCGATAATATTTGTTTTATTTTGCTTTGTAAACATTTTGTTTGACTTTTTATCCTGTTGTCTCCTTTCATTATTAATTGAACAATTAAATTCAGCACTGTTCACAAAATTGGCCATAACTAACATGTTTGCATGATAGTGTATTTCTACCTTTCAGATGTGTTACAAACCATTAATTCGTCTCAATATGGGATTGCATTAGATTATCTGTAATATTAAAGAAAATTACCATATTTTAATATATTGTAGTTTTCCTATAATAAAGTCAGTTTTTGTTTTATATTTGAAAGCCTGTGAAAATGGTTGGCGTTGCTGCTTGATAAACAGAGACAGGAAGATGCCCACTGACTATATTCGGAATGGAGTGCTGTATGTAACAGAAAAGTAAGTAGAATTTCTATACAATTAGTACATTTTAGGATTAAATCTGTAAATGCTTAGCTTTTTCTGAGTGACCAGACTATACATAGCTAATTTAGTTCTGAAGAAAAAAATATCTCCACATAGCCATTATTGTATTGTTAATACATTTTAACAACATAAATTTGACTTTAACATAAAAGATTGTTAATTCATCACCAATTTGGAATGCTTTTAACACTACTTTTGTGGATTCCCATTGATGCTTCTTGTTCTTTGTTATTACCACTCTGTTTCACTAAGACTCCTGCTTTTCTACCCTGTAAGAGTAAGACTGTAGTCACACTACATTTGAAAGGTCAGCTGCTGGTATCTTCAGATCCTGACTCAGTAGTCACACTCCAGACACTCAGGGCTCAAATAGCTGCATTTCAGAGTTGGGAGAGTCAGTGACGGAAAACACACAGTACTGTATATCATTTATAGAAAGGTTTTTAAATATCTGAACCCTTGCCAGTGGGAAACTCCAGCTAAGCTGTCCCAGTAAAGTTAAGTCACAAATCCCTAGAGGGAATGTTAAAGAAATAATTCCTCCTTTTATTTTGTGTTATCTTGTTAGTGGTGTCATTATATTATTTGTAAAGGAACATTATAATCTCAAAAGTAACAGTAAAGAAATGATTTGATACAGTAGTAAGCAGACTGCCACACAAAAACCTAATGCGCCCTATTACATAGCAAACAAGGTACAATGTGAGATACACTATTAGGCAACTGCAGCACACCAGGTCTAGGAATACAGTTTGCTTGAACAGGAATCATGCTGCAGAAAAAGGGAGTTTGAACTGGTGATGACATTTCATAGGCTGGAAAGCTTATGGTTTTGCAGTGAGATGGAAATGGTTGAGGTTTTAAGCTAGAGATCTTAAGGTGGTTAGAGATTGTGCTGCAATGCTGTTCAAAGGTACTGTAGCTCGTTCTGACTGGACATGAGATTTAGGTGGTACAGAAAAATGGAAAGAGCAGTCCACAAAGGCAGGACTCTTGGATTGTTAGTGAGCAGAGACAATCAATTAAAAGTCCAAAGTAGAATTACCATAATGTCCATTGTTAAATTCTGTTCTGTATTGTTTATAATTTACAGTATTATACTCTTAATATTTAAGGTATGCAATAATACATTTTCATAGCTATTAGTATAGAAACTAAACTATGTTTATTGCTTATATGTACTCTTGTATATTTTAATATGCTTTCACTGTATACTGTATATGCAGTTATGTTTACATTGTTATGCATTCTCCATATTTAATTTGTTGTATTTTTAAGAAACTTGGTGTTTTTGACCTGTTTAGTATTGATCTAAGGTATTATGTATACTTATTTCTTTATGGAGTTTAATTTTTGTATTCATTTAATATTCAAATTGCATGCTTTCTACATCAGAATAAATGTTGAATAAATCCTGACTGATGATTTCATGGGCAGCAATCAGGAGTATCTTTTTGCCTTTCGGTCTTAATGTCAAAAGAACATTTTTGTGCAATATCCCCCATTTAACATACTTCCTTTGATTGTTTGATTTTCTTTTTCTAGTTATCTCTGTTTTGAAAGCTCCAAGTCAGGTTCATCGAAGAAAAATAAGGTGATAAAACTAAATGACATTACAGATATTCAAAAGGTACATTTAAGCTTCTTTTTGCATTTTATACATTATATATGGATGTTGTCTGTAGTGTTTTTAATTTATAATAGCATTTTCCACCTATTTGTACAGTGAAAAAAAAGAAACAATGTTATGTAATATTTAACTTTTTCTAAAGCACAATTTGTGTAAATTAAATTACGTGGGATTAAGAATTTTAAAGTATTAATGTTGTCATGATTTTTTTAAAACAGCCAATTTACAAAGATCTGTTATTTGTTTTGTTACTTGAGAAAGTAGTGACTATTTTTAGACCTTGAACCTAAATTTGTCCATTAATCAATGGACATATTTATTATTGAAAATATTTGAGTGATGGGTAAAGATGTAAGGACTGATAATGATGTGTTTTCATCTGAATACAAAAACACTGAAAGAAAATAAGTTTAAACAAATAAGGACTACCAGTCATGAAACATCAGATAATGACACATTATCAGTCATACTTTGAAAACATTTTTGTCTAATTTTCAAATTGCATTCTTTTTTTCATTCTAGTACAAAGTGCTGTCTGTTTTGCCAGGATCAGGAATGGGTATTTCAATAGCAACACCATCCACACAGAAGGTAACTGCTTCATACACTTATCCTACCCATGTTTATTGATTTTCATTTGTAATTACTTTTCAGAACCTTTGAGCATTTTTTTTGCTTGGTGGTTGTGTACTACAATGTGTAAATAAGGTAATATACATTCTGATTTATTGTGCCATGATTTCAGACATCATGTGTTAGATTGATAAGGGACTATGTATGATAATATTGGTCACATTTTGTTACTCTTAATAAAACAATGTCTGCAAAATAATTGTCTCTGAAGTTAAAAAAAAACCAAGCAGATAATGGATCTGTGTTATAAATATAAAGTTTTAACGATAATATGTAATGTAATAAGTAGTTTTAAGCAAAAATGTTCCCTACTTGTGACAATATTTATAGAAAAAGAAGTAAAATATCATACAATTCACTTTTCAAAGGAACAAGTAGATGTTAATTCCATGCTAAAAAGAAAAACATATTTTGGCTGTTCAGCCTTCTTTATGTGCATGGGGTAATGAGACAGAAAGCAGAAATTATACAAGCTAGGTGAATACCATTTTCTGTTGGCATAAGAATGTATGTGCCAGATAGCATGTAATATAGACAATAATTTAATTTTGATTCTAGAGAATAAATATTTCCATTGCACTGTACGGTTATTGAAGGTGTAAGGGAGATGTGTGTACTGCCCAGATATAGTCACAAAGACTGAAAAGGTGGTAATTTTAGCAGGAATGTTTGATATCATTAAAGCAGCTGTAAATGACAAAGCTGTAAAAAACATTTTCCACACCATGTATACAACGCATTTAATACTTCATAAAGGATGTGGTCTAGTGATATGCTTTGCTAACATGTGGAGCATCCTGGAGATACCCCAAAGGTCACATGACAACACATTTTTAGATTTAAAAATAATTTTGGATTTTCACACCTCTCCAATTTCCTTTCATTAAGACACTCACACCTGCTCTGTGCCCATTTTCAAATACTTTGTTCTTTGTCCTTTTGTGCTTTTATATCCCTGCTACAGTACCTTTGTTACTCTCTCTCACTCCTGAAGAAGCTTCATTAGTTGAAACTTTGTATTATATCTTTCTACTTTTCAATGTGGGATTAACCTGTAATTGTTTGAAGTAATTACCTTCTCACTTCTTTTACATGTAATGTTATGGAAACGATTATTAAAATTAAACTGTACAATCACCATCATGGAAATAACATCCTAGGGAATAGTCAACATGGATTTAGCCTAGCCATCCTGTTGGAGTTATTGGTACAGGCATCAACAGTAATGGATACCCATGCAACATTTGATATGGTGTGTTTAAATTTACAGAAGGCTTTTTATGAAATTCCTCATAAAAGATAATCAAATTACAAATCTGGCATTTGGGGGACATGTGTGTTTGAACTAAGAATTAGTTAACAGAAAATAGTAAAAATAAGGAACTTTTACTGGGGTGATGCAATAAGTGGAGTACCACAGGGATCTGTACTAGAGACACTGCTCTCCTGTTTTTATATCAGTGATCCAGATTAGTAAACACTATAGAAGCAGCAAGTAAAATTCAAAACAAATGAGATAAAATAGCAAACTGGGCAAACACCTGACAGATGTTATTAAATGTAAACAAATACTAAATATTTAGAATATTGTGCACAGCTATGTTCACCACATTATAGAAAAGATATACCTGCTCTGAAATCACTTCAGAAAAGAACAACCAGATTCTTTTTGGGTTTAAGAGCATGCCCTGCATTGATGGGCTGAAGGAATTGAATTTGAACAAAGAAGACTACAAAGAAATCTGACAAAAGTATTCAGATTACTCACAGGATTAACAAAGTCAAAGCTTTGACCTCTGCTTTTTTCAAGAAACAGCTGGATTAGGTCAATTAGATACTAGCTACCAAACTGGCTAGAAGGGTTTTATAGCCTTCTCTCATTTGCAACCATTCATATACTCTTATGAAATATGAGGTAAAGGGGTGGGTAAGGAGGACAAAATGAAAATATGAGAATGAGTAAAATAACATTTAAAAGACTCCACAATTGATAAGTATTTTTCAGCTTCTACTTAGTAAAACAGTTCTTTTCGTTCAGGGTGAAATTAACCTGTACAAACGAATAGGATTTTTTTTGTAAAGCAGTTGCATGTGAAAAAATACTTTTACAAATTTGACTAATCCTTTCTTTTCTCATTTTCCTTTAGCCACTCGTGTTTGGTGCCATGATTCACAGAGATGAGGCCTTTGAGACAATTTTCACCCAGTACATGAAAATAATGTCATCAGCATCCAACAATGAAACCTAGCAGCCTGAGTGCAGAACATACTAATTTCCTCTGTGATTGTGGGAGGGGGCAGGATCTCCTTTGCCTGCTTTGCAATACTTTTTTTTCAGGTCGTGGAGATTTGTATTGTACAGATTGTGTATTTTGTACTTGCCTGTTTAATTTCTTCATTTTTAATTAACTGTAATTATCACTGCAAGCCTTGCACAGGAAGCACTTTTAGCATTTGTTTACAAGTGCTTTGAAAGTGTGAGAAAATAGAATTTAGGATTCACTTGGGCAAGACAAATTATAGCCTTTTTTAACTTGCATTTAAAATTGCAGTTTGTCAGCCATGCATATTTTGGAAACACTTTTGTTTGAGAACCTGGTATAGTTGGATACGAACAACAGATCAGCTTTTGTGAACCCAGTCATTTTAAAATATGTGACATATTTATTGCCTTTTCTTTTTGTATTAAAACATTTCACTCCATGATTATTGGAATGCCTTCTTTAATACCAAAAGATGAAAACATACCAATTGAAATGCTGATGATAATTCACAGCTTATTTTTTTTAATTATTGCAGTGGATCCTACTAATATTATTCAAATTATTTAACTGGAGACTTGAACCAAAGCAAATTTATTATTAACAACCAATATTCATTTTATTGCACTATTAAATGCCTAGAAACAGCTAGTTATTACAAATCAATCTTCATATATATATATTCCACTTTCTTAGCATGAATATATTACAATGGCACATTATTACGTATATTGTATAACTGATTTGTAGCACAATTCTTAAAATGTTTATACAATGTAATGATTTATGGAAAATTCCTAAACTAAAGTGTTACCAATATTTTATGGCTGAAAGGTCCAGATACTGACAATGCCTGTTGAATACAACGTATTTCAGATTGGTCCAACAATGTTTCAGAGTGCTTGCTTGATGAAATTAATTAGTCATCTTGACGTTTCTTTCATTGGGTGATTCTGTTTTCATCACACAATTCATACAAATAGCCAAAACTAAAGCAAAAATATTTGGTCATTTATATTATAACTGTCATTCAGTAGGTTGGAGGTGTCTGTTAATCTACAATTACATTACATATACAGTTCAAAATACGCTTTACTAGATTAGACCTTTCTGTTTAGTCAGAGTTTTACAGTACAGTAAGACAGAAACAGAAACTGCACACTCTGCAGTGCAACTACTGTATACGCCTTGTAGCATCTCTGCTTTAGAAGAGATCCTTTAAGGTCATTTAAAAAGGTTCCCACTTTAAATTAGATAATACATATAATAAATCCCACAGCTAGAATATCAAAATGAGAAATACATTTATAGTACAACATTTCCTTGCACTACCACTATACTTGCTAACCTCTTGCACTGTACATAATGCCCATTTAATAAATTCATCATAGTGTCCCTTACAAACGTCAGAGGAAAAAGGTTTGACTTCATTTATGGGCAGTTACTGCTTTGCCATTCTGTATTAAAGCTGGTCTTTTTTTAAAGGAGGTTCTGACCTTTAGGACAAACATTGAACAGCTGACAGAGACATTAAACATTTATCAGTCCCATGCCAAAGCATTTACTGTGTCTTGCACTTTGTTTTAAAAGGCAGTTGTATTAATGGGTAGGTACTGTTGCACAGGTAACCACACTATTGACAGTTTCACATTGTCATTTACTGTATGTTTTGCTCAGTAGCTCAGGTGGTGGTCATTATGAATACCTTGGAAGAGCTCTCATGAAAAGAAAAACAATACGGGAACTCTCTTAAACAGTGATCAGATTCTTAGTGGTCCTGTATTCAGAATTGTGTGTTGAAAGCGTTTTTCCTTTTTTTTGCATCAAGAACAGGCCAGTTCAGTTCAGCAGTGCTTCACATATGAGCACTCTTTTAGAGTTTCATATAAATTGTGATCGTGCCATTTGCTTGTTTTCAGATTTTCAGTTTCAGAATTCCAATCACATTTGTATATATTACCAAAACAGCAAGTACATAAGTGAGTGCCCCCTTAACTTTTCAATGTATTCCCATTTTACTGGAGATCTTGCTAGCATACATCAAGGTGGTCTTCCAATTTTCTTGACTTGCGTTTGTGTGTCTCTGCAAAGGGAGTGAACACGGTAGCAGAAAGCATTGTCACATTCTAAACAATATGCCAAGTTTCATTAGATCACCTTGCAAAAAATGTATGTTGTGATTTATTTACAAAAGCAAAAAGAAAAGATACTTATTAATGTGTTTATTCTAATCTGTAGATCCTAGGAAACAAGACCTGTAGTCTAAATAAGGCTGTTCTGTTTAATGCTCATACCCAAAACCACTTAGCTGATACCACTAACCTTGAAACTGCCTTTGTATTCCCAGAATGCAAGCAGTGTAGAAGACCATACTAAAGAAGCACAGAATGTATTTTAAAAGGTATAGTTTTGCCAAATGCTAATTCTCATCTTTAGGTTACAGCTTGATTATGTTCTGCCTAAACTTAAATGTTTACAGAAGGTTTGTTTAAGCTCCACTGTTTGCAGCTTCTGTTACAGAAGTAAAGCTAGTTTGAATCCCATGAGTGGAACGGGGCATGATAACTGGCTATATATCTTTTTCTACTGAAACATCAGTGTGAATGTCAGTGTCCTTTCTGAATGGTCATAGACAATTCACAGGCCAATTTAAAAAAACATGTGTAACATGTTAACATGTGTGAACAGTGTAAATGAAAATGGTTTTACTGTAATTAAATATTTGCTTTTCTGACGTTTGTTTAATTCAGTCAAAGGTTCCTAGCAGTACTTTGTACAGCCATTAAGAAGACAGAATACATTATTAAAGGTATTAAGCCATACTAACGTCTGATAGTAGAACAGAATACGTGTAAGGCGATCTTGCATTATTTAAGGTTATTCTGAACTTTATATACTATATACTGAACTTTAATAATTTAATTGAAACATAGATAATGTCATGTGACATGAACACTTTCTTCTGCTGTTACGTTTTAAAACTCAAGATTTCTTGTTTTAACGAGACTGCAGTTCTGGTTTTTTTTAGGAAAAAAAGATTGCCATGACCATCCAGAAAGGTGCACAATATTGTTTTATAAATATGTGTAGTTCTTGGTGTTAACAAAGTATTAGTTCTATATGTGTGTAAATGTTGGCTATTTTCGTAATATTCCCGATCAGTATGAAAAATGAAAGATGACATTTCTTGAAGTCAATTTAAAAAGAGTTGTGAATACTTATTTGTAATCCATGTTGCCGGTGTCTGCAGACAAATGATGAAGCAGGAATTTATAAGAAATGTACAAAATTTCCCTGTAAAGTTTTTAAAGAGAATGATGTCTATTGTAAAAACTGTGTTGTACATTTTTTTAATTTAAGTAAATGAATTTAAACTACTAGTTGGTTGATTTCTTTTTTACTTGCTTCATACATTGTATATATTTTGGATTATAATTTCTTTATAGAATATTGAAATGTGAAACAGAAAAATGTATTTCATAGCCTGCTGTGATGATGCCTGGCAGGTTGATGAGAAGCAACCCTGAAGCTAGATTTTCCACAAAGCTTTTCTGTACAGCAGTTTTATTAAATCGAGAGATATTTTCCCTTACTGACAACTACTGTAGGTTTGATGTATATGCCATTGGCACATTGCGAGCAGTCTTTAAATGTGGGCAGCCTCAGTTACTGTATATTGAAAGGGTTCCATCAACCTTTGAGTCTCTTTGCTTGCATGATATTAATCTTTTACTGTATACCCCCATAAGTATTTACTCTTTGCTAGTTTTTTTAATACCTTAGTATAGGTGTAAAAGTGAACATTCTTATCAATGTAAGGACTGTGACATTTTCTCATTTACTAAAAATGAACCTGTAAGGTACTGTACATCTAAAATAATAAGAGATCACACTGAAGTTTTCAAAAAGATGTACTAAAGTTCTCAATTTAGGACTGGCATACTTAGTTTGATCTGCATACTGGTGTATTTTGTATGTCACTTGTTATTCCAAAACATATTGAGAAGGAGAGTTACACTGCTTGGGATAACTTATCCTTTTGTATTTCTACACAAACATACAGGTAGGTTAATTACCTGCAGGTTTGTGTAAGTATGTAAAGTGTTCCAATTATTTTCATAGAGAAAATTAAAGGATCTATAATTCCCTTATGTCAATGCACTGCTACTACTATAAGACAAAGCATAGGGTTACTGTCACATATGTATGAATATACACCATCAGAGGTCATACTTGGACACCTTTGTGGATAGTTCTTCATAATAAGGGAGACCCCAATGGAATATATGGTTCCTAGATCCATCATATGAACAGTACATTTTCTTGGTTGAGAGTCATGTATGTAGGTGGTGTTTAGAAATAAATGTATGCCCATTTTGTGTCTAACAAACATCGCCGACTACAGAGAAGGTAAGATACAGCCTCGTATTTCCATAAGAAAAGGTGATGTTATCCATGTCTGCATAGTACTTTTTATGTCATACAATAGATTGCATTCCTGAACAAAGACAAATAAATTACAATTTCAGATGCAAATTCTAACATTTTTAAAATGGCACTGACTTGTTTTCTATTTTTTATGTACTCAAGAATGGAGGGCCTGTTATATCAGCCCTTCCCTGATCAAATTCGTTAGTTAAAACTCATGTCTTTGAAGGTATTATGAGGAAATAAGAAATTAAATGTCACTTCCTTTCCTGACTCATTACAATGTTTTTTGGTTATTAAGCTAGCATCAATTTGCTCTGTCTGGCTTTCTGGATATTATGACATTAATGTCAGTTGGATGAGATTGTTTTTAAAATAGTCCTTATGTGCAATTTACATTATGTAACATTATATTTTTAAACAATTGTAGATTAAATGTTGTTAAATGAAACTGTGTGCTAAGATCTGTCTTTTACAGACACGTTTTCCAGACAAGGTATGTACATGAAAAAGCACTGATTGAATAGTTTTTCTGCCACAGCATATTACGCAATTTTTGGAATATTGTGCAATTTAAATGATGACCACATGGTGTCACTATTGGAAAAGATTAAGAAACACATTCAGATTACGATGTGGACATGACTACACATTAAATTTTTTCATGATTGCATTTTCATTTTCAGCTATGCATAAAGGAATGCTACTGTACAGTATATTACAAGACTCATGTATTTAGATCATGAAATGAATTTAATTATGTAGTAATAGTAACTTGATTTCACATACAGTATGTGGAACTAGCTTTTAGTGAATGCTTTTAGTCTAATGATAGCATTCAGAATACGCGAATAAAATATTGAATCAACATAAAAGAAGCTCACAATCTATTAATTCAAAGGGTTTTTTTCTGTATTAAAATATTTTTTACAAAAGGGTATCCTCCCCAAAAAACCTAATTATTTTAGTTCACATTTTGATATGCAGCTAGAAAATAAGCTCTTTTTTTTTGTAAAAGTTATCAGATTTTGTATTAAACTTTCTAATTTTATCAAATATATTGTGGATTTTTTTTAAAAAGCCTATATATAGGTATGTGAGCTGTGCAGCTCCCTTTGATACATTCATATGAAAATTAAGTAAATTCAAATTATAATTGTTTTTTCAGTACATCCTATATATTCACTGTTCTATAAAATGATCAAATGTGGCTCTCTAAATAAATAAATGTTTACTAATATGATGAAGCAATTATAGAAATTGCTTTACATTGCTACCCAAGTACAAAAAAACTGAGCTTCAGTTTATTAATGTACACTATTGCTTATGGAATACAAAGGAAGGTGCAGTACAAATTAATTTTCAAATACTTGGAACATACTTCATCTTGTTATTTGACAGAATGCCAGTTTATGTGCTGGAAGAAGACAAACTTTGAGCAGTGCCTCTCATGAGTCCGAGTGCCACTCCACTTGTTCCTTAGAGTTAAAACCAAAGGTAGACACCTGTCAAAGTCAGTAGGGTGGAGAGTTAGGCAAATATTCTTTGTTTCATTTAAATGCTACATCTCGGCAGTTGTGTTTGGAGGTACTGAAGCTATCCTTTGCTGCCCTTAGAATTGAATTCTTAGTGAAATCTTACAGAAATCGGTCACAGCACTCAATCATCTTTTGATTCATAAAAAGTGATGTATAAAGATAAGCCTGGACTCTGTATGTACAGTATGTAGGTACTGAAAGCCAGTTCCAAATGTATGATTTTTTCTGTATCCAAGAATACTCTATGGAGATCCATGTGGCAGATATGCCATAAGCATCTGCATAGCATCAGGTACAGGTTAGCCTTCATTAGACTTCAGATGTACAGTATAGTAAAGTGATGTAAACCTTAGCAAAACATGGTTATGATATCCTTTTTAGGATTCTGAATGGCAATTATAGTAAGAACGGAAGATACTGTGGTCTTATTTTGTAAAGATAATCATTGACTTTTCATTCAATTTGTTTCACAGAATGCCCTTTCCTGTAAATGCTTATTATAGAAATAAGATAATTAAGTTAATCACTTTTATTGGAACTATGGTAACTCACTATACATTCATCATGAAAACCTCTTTAAGGCTTTTCTTTAGAAGAACTAGAGAATCAACTACTGCCTTGTTCAAAATTAGTACAGATTCGGAAAGCTTTCCAGCCCTCCTGACTGGAACGTACAGAAGTTAAAATGCTGGTAAAACATACTCAGTTTCAGTAAACATATACATATGAAATATATCGTATCATTTTTGCAGGGTTTTGTTTTTCTTAAAAAATCAATAATATTTTTTGGTAACTTAAGGTCACCTTAAGATTTTGGTCACCTTAAGAATATATTATTTAACCAGCTGTTCATTTCTACAACAAGGATGTCAAATTAAATTCCTGTAGGGCAGGGTATTTTCCTGTTTTTTTCCCACCTTAACAATTCATTACATACTGTAGTTGGACCAACTACTTAGTAAACTCCACAACTGTATTGTTTTCTAACCAGACCAATAGAATGTTCTGTCAGATTTTTAGAGCTATCTTTAACAAAATATTGTTTTGAGCAATCAATTGGAAAATGCCTTATGAAAAATCCAGTATATGTCTAAGTAAGAAAATGACTAAAATGTTTAATTGACTGTGTAGGTTAAGCAAAAACAAGAAATCACTAAAAATGATCCCAAGAATATAATTAATTGGATAAAACACTGGATTTAAGTGTAGAAAAACAATTTTTAGGTGCGATGACAATCTCTCTCTTTCTATCACATTGTCCCCCTTCTACTCCCTCTGTTTATGATCAAAGCAAAGTAGATTATACTGTATAGTCTACATCGACAAGGATGTAGTAAAGGTGTTCTTGTGATAATATAAAAGTACAATGACAAAGGACTAAAAATACATTTATTGTGGTAAATAAATTGTACTACTGTGAATCAGGGAATGTTAATGTTAATGTTAATCATGAAAATGTCATTTATCTAGCTTTCAGTCAGTCTGAGCATGTGGGTCACTGAACTTTAAATAATTACTAGGGTATAATACAACTACTGCTAAATCTTTACTTACATATAATTTTTCTGGATACTCCACTCAAGGCTCCGTACTGGTGATGGGGACTCCCCTCCACCACCAACGTGTAGCCCCAACTGGATGATGCGACAGCAGCCATAGTGCACCAGTATTCACACCACACACCAGCTATCAATGGGGAAGAGAACAGAGTGATGAAGCCAAATCATTAGGAGGCCATGATTGGTAAAGGCCAGGGGGAAATGTGGGAAGGACACCCATATACGTTTCAAGAAACAACCTGGAATTTTTAATGACCACAGTGAGTCAGGACCTTCGTTTTACATCTCCTCTGAAGGATGGTGCCTTTTCACAGTATAGTGTACCCCTCACTATACTGGGGCATGAGAATCCACACGTACCACAGGGTGAGCACTCCCTACTGGTCCCACTAACAGCTCTTCCAGCAGCAACCTTAACTTTCTTAACTGTCTCCCATCCAGGTACTGACCAGGCTCAACCTTGCTTAGCTTCAGTGGGTTGCCAGTTGTGAGTTGCAGCATGATATGGCTGCTGGTAGTATCACCATCTATTGTTATGTTATGAGTTGCAGAGAGAGATAGCTGCTGGTAAATCTGTAAGGAATCCCTTATGGATTCCCTTTAAAATTTCAAAGATCTTGATGCTTTGGCAGTCGTCTTGTACTGAGATTGTGACTGTTCCTTCAGCCTGTCCTCATAAATCATCTCCTTAACATCTGTAATGAGTCTTACCGCTCTTTTCTGAACCAGTGCTTCCTGATCCATTTGTATAGTGGTAACTAATACTATATGTATGCAGTATGTATTTTGTTTGTTTTTGTACTTACTGAAGAGAAAATAATTCAGGTCTAGGAAACAACAGCTTTGCTTTTGT